ACAGTTCAATACAAGAGGGATAGGAGGGCCCTGATCGTTGGAGCTTACAATCTAAGATATATATACGTGATTTTGCAGTTCCAAATAGGGGGCGCGCACGTGCCCTACCCGCGCCACTATTTGCGGCCTCGGCTATCAATCACTGTCTCCCAACCGATGATTACTCCCGGCACCCAGTGATACTGACGGGGGGAGAGAGCTGTATTTAAACAACACAGATCTCTCCCCTGTCAGCTCCTGCACACTGCTTCATATGGCTGTGCATAGCACATACAGCACATAATGTGAAACAGCACACAGTTAACCCTTTGATCTCCCCAGATGTTAACCCCTTCCTGCCCAGTGTCATTAGTACTGTGTCCGTGCTTTTTATTAGCAGTTCCCCCACCAATGTCAGAGTGCCCACCGCAGTTTCGCAATAAGTCGCTGATCGCTGCCATTATTAGTAAAAAATAAATAAATAAAAATTCCAGTATATATACCGCCATCTTGTAAATGATATAACTTTCACGTAAATAATTATTTCCATGTATTGGGAATAAGCATAAGGAGAGCAGAATACATTTTGGCCTAAATTTATGACAAAATTTGTTTTTTTTTTAATTTTTTTACTGTTTAATAGCAAAAAAGTAAAAAAAATATTTTTTTCTTAAAATTGTCGTTTTTGTTGTTTTGTTTATAGCGCACAGAATAAAAAACACACAGGCGATCAAATACCACCGAAAGAAAGCTAAATTTGTGGGGGGAAAAAGGACATAAATTTCATTTGGGTGCAGCATTGCATGACAGCGCAACTGTCAGAGCGCCGTATCGCAAAATATGGCCTGGTCAGGAAGGGGGGTAAATTCTCTGGAGGGCAAGCGGTTAAGGATAGTTACCAGGTTATTTACCTTGCGGCCCGCCTGCAGCTCTGCCTGGCGCTGCACAGCTGTTTATGCAAAAATGTCCCCACACATGCACTGTGGCCCCATTTATTCCTATGGATGGGATTTTCTGCTATCCGATGAATTAAAAAAAAAAAAATTGACTAAGCAGTGTAGAAGAGGACATATTGTTAATAGAGTGTAGTGTATTATTATTATACAGGATTTATATATTATTATACGGGATTTATATATTATTATTATACAGGATTTATATATTATTATTATTATTATACAGGATTTATATATTATTATTATACAGGATTTATATATATTATTATTATACAGGATTTATATATTATTATTATACAGGATTTATATATTATTATTATTAGACAGGATTTATATATTATTATTATTATTATACAGGATTTATATATTAATATTATACAGGATTTATATATTATTATTATTATAATACAGGATTTATATATTATTATTATACAGGATTTATATATTATTATTATTAGACAGGATTTATATATTATTATTATTATTATACAGGATTTATATATTAATATTATACAGGATTTATATATTATTATTATTATAATACAGGATTTATATATTATTATTATACAGGATTTATATAATATTGTTATACAGGATTTATATATTATTATTATTATTATACAGGATTTATATATTATTATTATACAGGATTTATATAGCGCCAACAGTTTGCTCAGCGCTTTACAATATAAAGGGAGACAATACAGCAACAATACAGATCAATACAAGAGGGATAGGAGGGCCCTGATCCTTGGAGCTTACAATCTAAGAGGGAGGGGCTAGTGGTACAGAAGGTAATAACTGTGGGGGATGGACTGGTAGGAGGAGTAGAAGATTCCATTATTAGCTGAGGGCAGGATAGGCTTCCCTGAAGAAATAGGTTTTCAGAGATCGCCTAAAAGTGAGCAGAGTAGGCGATAGTCAGCAAGGAACGGTACCATTGAGTATAAGACCACTGATCCTAGGAGATGAGGTCACCATAGCTGAGATTGTCAGGGAATGGAGAACCACTTTAAATTTGAAACATTTTTCCTCACCTTTTTGGCATTCAATGTTATTATTCAGTGTCTGTTCTGCATTCTTCATCTGTCTGTGGTCTTGGACGAGAAGTTGCTGTTAGTTCCTTACAATTTTTCTCAGACCGCGGGTCATCTGCATACACCAACCTGGCTGATGGCCTCTATCTGAAGCTCTCCTCTCTTCCTTCTGACCAAGCTCCTGTGGTTATGGTGAGTTTCCTTTCATAAATCCATACAGTTTAAAAAATGTAAAGCTTTTTGATGTTTACAGTTTCTCGGCCTAAAGTATGCAGTTCTAGTTGGGGCACCTATGTGTAAAGGATTATTCAGACACTAACAGGGGCATCATATCACGTGCTGACATGCATTGGACTCAACCCACGAAGCCAACACACCAGGATATGGATCATTATTTTCAAAAAAGTTTCCATGGTTCAATGACATCCGAGCACGACAGGTACATGGCTGAAAACAGAGTGTTAAAGCTTTGTGAATTGAGTCAGCCTGTTGGCATTGTGTTAGCCAGTTGGCAGCCCATTCATTTTTAGCCACTTGCCAACCATGTTATAGCCGAATGACGGCTACAGCGCGGTTGTCTGGGAGGGCGTCATATGACGTCCTCCCACGTGCCCCTGGGGGAGCGCACCCGGTGATCTCCGTGATCACTGTGTCCTACAGACACAGCTGATCACGTGCTGTGGCAAAATTCCAATCACAGCGGCCTTTTACTACGTGATCAGCTGTGTCCAATGACAGAGCAGATCACCGGTAAATGCAGTTGCTGGTTGTCGGCTGCACTTTCCTCAGACTGTCACAGTGTGAGGAAAGTACTGCCGATAGCCGGCAATTGTCAGAGGACGGATCGGCACCGATCATCAGGGCACTGATGATCAGTGCCCAGCAGTGCCACCCACAAGTGCCTCCCACCAGTGCCCATCAGTGCTGCCTATCAGTGCCACCCACCAGTGCTAGAGAGGTTTTTTTTTTTCTTGGGTGAGTGCATGTGATCAGCACAGGGCCAATCAGCGCTGTCCAGACAGAGGTCAGGGGTTATGCAGCCTCATAGGACAATCGGGAGAATGAAAACTACTCCTACAAGTTTTATCCAGTGCTCTGCTGGACACTGATAGAAGTTACAAGACTGCTCTATACTGCTGATGAGAAAAGGTATTTAGCAGTTTATATTTACTAAAATAATTGCATTTCCATGTTCTGTGTACTGTGGGTAACCAGATATAGTGAATGCAGGGTCCGGGGAGACCAGATATAAAGAATGCAGGGTCCGGGGAGAGCAGATATAGTGAATGCGGGGTCCGGGGAGACCGGATATAGTGAATTGCAGGGTCCGGGGAGACCAGATATAGTGAATGCGGGGTCCGGGGAGACCGGATATAGTGAATGCAGGGTCCGGGGAGACCAGATATAGTGAATGCAGGGTCCGGGGAGACCAGATATAGTGAATGCAGGGTCCGGGGAGACCGGATATTGTGAATGCAGGGTCTGGGGAGAGCTGATATAGTGAATACAGGGTCCAGGGAGAGCGGATATAGTGAATGCAGGGTCCGGGGAGAGCGGATATAGTGAATGCAGGGTCTGGGGAGACCAGATATAGTGAATACAGGGTCCAGGGAGAGCGGATATAGTGAATGCAGGGTCCGGGGAGAGCGGATATAGTGAATGCAGGGTCCCGGGAGACCGGATATAGTGAATGCAGGGTCCTGGGAGACCAGATATAGTGAATGCAGGGTCCTGGGAGACCAGATATAGTGAATGCAGGGTCCGGGGAGCCCGGAAATGGTGAATGAAGGGTTTGGGGAGACCAGATATAGTGAATACAGGGACTGGGGAGACCGGATATAGTGAAGACGGGGTCCGGGGAGACCGGATATAGTGAATGCGGGGTCCGGGGAGACCAGATATAGTGAATGCAGGGTCCGGGGAGACCGGATATAGTGAATACGGGGTCCGGGGAGACCAGATATAGTGAATGTAGGGTCCGGGGAGACCGGACATAGTGAATGCAGGGTCCGGGGAGACCAGATATAGTGAATGCAGGGTCCGGGGAGACCGGACATAGTGAATGCAGGGTCCGGGGAGACCAGATATAGTGAATGCAGGGTCCGGGGAGACCGGATATAGTGAATGCAGGGTCCGGGGAGACCGGATATAGTGAATGTAGGGTCCGGGGAGACCGGACATAGTGAATGCAGGGTCCGGGGAGACCAGATATAGTGAATGCAGGGTCCGGGGAGACCGGACATAGTGAATGCAGGGTCCGGGGAGACCGGATATAGTGAATGCAGGGTCCCGGGAGAGCGGATATAGTGAATGTAGGGTCCGGGGAGAGCGGATATAGTGAATGCAGGGTCCCGGGAGACCAGATATAATGAATGCAGGGTCCGGGGAGAGCGGATATAGTGAATGCAGGGTCCCGGGAGACCAGATATAATGAATGCAGGGTCCGGGGAGAGCGGATATAGTGAATGCAGGGTCCGGGGAGACCGGATATAGTGAATGCAGGGTCCGGGGTTTAGTACCACTTTAATGTACTCCATTGGTGTATTTAACTATTTGCCTGGAGCTTTACACACATGAAACTTATCACTTTAACAGAGAAGTTTGGGGGTATGTAAAAACACAAACATACATACTCACCTCCATGCTGCAGCATTGGTAAAGTGCTGCAGCTGCCCCTTGCTTGTTCTAAGCCTGAGAACTGAGTGATCACATGACCTCAACTGTCCTTTTTCAGCTCTGAGCAGACACCGTCAGTCACCGCTCTCTGCCCAGCCCCTATAGTGCTCACTGGAGTGCTGGGCTGTGGAGGGGGTGGGAATGGCTAGCTGCAGCACTCATCTGCGTGTTGAGAGGCTGAGGCAGCTGTCAGGTATGCTTGCGAGTAAATACCGACAATATAGTCGGGATCCTTCTAAAGCCTGGAGTGGCTCTGTGATATCAGCCAACAGCAGAATTTAGTCTGCTGTCAGCTGATTCTGGGTCACAGGAGAGCAAAAGTAATTGCATCTCTATGACCCACAAGAGAAGTATGGACAAAAAAACTTTCAGGTTGAGTCTGTATCCAGTGACCTTTGTCTTCTGTCTCTTCCAGGAACATGAAGGGTGCCACTTTATTCACACTCGACACCAAGGTCTATACTTTGTCATAAACATCAGTTCCAGTGACTCTCCCTTCTTGTATATCGATCTTCTGAACCGGTGGGTTTTTGCCTGTCAATGCTCTGTAAATTGATATATGATGGATTGTAGCCAACCTGTTCCTCTCTCTTTGGTCCTAGGCTGGCTTCCCTGATTCGTGATTATTGTGGGGACCTTAGCGAGTCTGTGGTCCGGCTCAACTTTGCTCTGATCTATGAACTCCTGGATGAGGTTCTAGTAAGTGGTCATCTAGTTGTTTTATATGTGTAGTTCTCTCTGCCTGGAAATTTAGAAATGTAGTGTTTTTTAACCATTAGCCGCCCGGCCAATGGCCGTTTGGCGGCTTCAAAAGTGTTGCTGCATTCCGGGTGCACGCCATTTGGCGTGCTCCCGCACATGCGCAGTTTGCGCTAATGCAGAGCGGCACAGCAGCGCGATCTGTCACCGGCCGTGTACCTCGGACACGGCCGATGACAGATCCGAGTACCGGCTCCCGTTGCTGGTACCATGTGACCTGCTGTGACCAATCACAGCAGGTCACATGACAGTTGTATACAATGGAATGGTTCATTCATGCCATCCATTGTATACTAGTGCCTAGCTGTGAATGGTCACAGCTAATCACATGCACATGTCATGTGAATGGTCACAGCTAATCACATGCACATGTCATGTGATTAGCTGTGGCCAAATCACAGCTAAGCACAAAAAAAAAAAAAAAAAGCTGAATGAATCGATTTCATTCAGGTTAATGCTTGCTTATAGCAAAGTAATTCTTTGCTATAAGCAAATTGTGTAAAAAAAAAAAAAAAAAGAAATACTGATCACTTCCCCAAAGTAGTACAATGTTACTATGGTAACATTGTACTACTTTGGTCATAGTAAAATATGAAAAAAAAATCTTAAAAAAAATAAAAAAAAGTAATAAAAAATTAAAAAATAATAAAAAAATAAAAAATTTAAAAAAATATATATATATTTTTTTTTTTTTCATACTGTCACCAGTCAGTGTCTCTGTTCACCGCCATGCCAGTTATATGATGACGCTGTACTGCACTGGTGACAGTATGTAAAAAAAAAAAATAGTGAAAATAATTTTTTTAATTTTTTTTTTTCATTTTCCGAAAAATTATGACAAAAAAAATACAATTTCAAAAATTTGCCATGCCTCTTATGAAGTACGTCGGACTGTCTACTCTGCAAAAAGGGGTCATTTGAGGGATATCTGTACTGTTCTGACATTTGGGGGATATCTGTACTGTCCTGACATTTGGGGGATATCTGTACTGTCCTGACATTCTTGGACCTCAAGAAATTAGATTGGCTGTCAGTACTTCAGGATTGATCAATTTTGAGATCTATCCCATAGTTTGTGAACTCTATAACCTTCCTACAGACTAAATAATACATCCTAATTTGGGTTATTTTCACCAAAGACATGTAGCAGAATACATCTCGGCCTAAATTTATGAAGAACAATTATTTATTTGTAAACTTTTATAACAGAAACAAAGAAAAATGTGTTTTTTTTTTCAAAATTTTTGGCCTTTTTTTGTTAATTTAGCAAAAAAATAAAAACCCCGGCGGTGATTAAATACCACCAAAAGAAAGCTCTAGTTGTGTGAAGAAAATGATAAAATTTTAGTTTGGGTACAATGTTGTATGACCGCGCAATTGTCATTCAAAGTGTGAGAGCGCTGAAACCTGAAAAATGGCCTGGGCAGGAAGGGGTAAAATTGCCCGGTATTGAATTGGTTAAACATGAGGGATGTGAAGCACTGGTGAAATAACTCTTTCTCTGGGTGGTGCACCTTGGGATTTAGATCTAGTTCAGAGATGTTGGATTCCTATCGCCCGATGCCTGGGACATGTAGTTCCGGGGTGCCGGGCAGGTCGTTTTATTTTCTACCTTCAGCCCTGCTGCGGGCAAGCAGGAGGGCTCACCTCTCACACTTTAATATATGTAAGTTCAAAAGTAATTTTCAATATTTTTAGAAATGTGCAGTTTTTTTTTTTTTGTTTTTTTTAATAAAAGGATCCCTGGTGATCCTGCCACAAAGGTCCTTGTTATAGCCGCTTCCTGTCATGGGGTGATAATGCTCTGCACCTCTCCCAATTGTATTGCCCTGTCACCCGGTCTTCCGATGGAGACTACAAGTGCCCACTTCAACACATTATACAGGCATGGTTTGCTGTAGTCACCATCAGGAAACCTGTCCTGAGAAATCCCATACAGCCATCACTGGAGTGTTTACAGGAAGTGGCTGCAAAGAAGCTGTAGGAGATGAGAATCGCTGAGATGGATGAAAAAACGGAAAAAGCCAATGGTTAATGATACACTAAACAGGAATGTGTAATTCCTGATGCCCGGGACATGCAGTTCCGGGTGCCGGGCAGGTAGGTTTTTTTTCGCCTTCAGCCCTGCTGCGGGCAAGCAGCGGGCTCACCTGTCAGGTGGAAGCATGTGGGCGGCAGCGCTGCTGCCGATTGCGTCCACGCAGTGCCAGCCTCTCTTTTGCAGTAAAATCATGTGACATAAAACATTGGAACTACTGCTATTTTATTCTCTAGGGTCTCTGCTTTCAGAAAACATAACATGTTTGGGGATTTTACGTAATCTTCAAAATGATTTTTGTGCAAAAAATGCAAAAATGGCTCTGGCAGTAAAAGGGATAAAGTATAAGCCCTGACCCGCCCTTTCCTGATGAGCAGCCAATCAGTCATCACACTGCAAGGTCTCCCCCCCCTCTGCTAGTCCCCGGGTGCGGTGCTAGAGACAGGCAGGGAGTGGAGGAGGAAATAAACAGCGCAATGTTAAAAATATTACACGTTTAAGTCGCCATAAAGCCCCTTTTGTTTTTAACCCCTTCACGCTGGCGCCTCCCAGCCCTTTAAGGGTTTCAGAAGCCGGGAGGCAGGGCAGGGTTTAAGGTCATGTGACCGCCGTGACACGCCGTCACATGATCTGGAAAGGTCCTGATCAAAAGAGGAGATCGGGACCTTTCCGTGAGTACTGGACAGGTGTGCTGGGAGCGCGCAGGGTGCGTGCTCTCAGCACATATGTTTTTTTTTAATAGAACACAAATGTGCTGTCGCTCGGTGTCTAGGCCCAAACGCCGGGAGGCCGCACATTTGCGTTCGGCCGGTGTGAAGAGTTTAAAAGCCCCAGACATTCCTAATATCACCTCCGTTTGAAATACGATTTTGATTAATTTTTTTTTTATCTGGACAAATAGATTGTCATGTATCTGGACAAGTAGATTGGGGCCCCGATTTAGTCCCTGGACCAGGGGGCGGACTGACCATTTGGAAACTCGGGCACTGCCCGAGGGTCCGGGCTCAGTAGGGGGCCCCATAAGATGCCCCTGGTACCTTTTTCATAGGCTTTTTTGAGTTTGGGCAAGGACACAGGGGCCCCATGATCCCCTATTGCCCGGGCCCCCATGAGTTGTCAGTCCGCCCCTGGTCCATGGACAAGTAGTTTTTTTCAAAAATTCCACACCCCTGTAGTTACTCACCTTCCGGCTACTCGCCTAGGCCTTGATGCCTTGTGGGAATTTTGAGGAACCCAAATATTTCTCTGCCAGCAATCAAAGGGACAGGTTGCCAACCTTGTAGGGTGGTTCCAAACCAAAGAAGCTGGTGAGTCCTCATAAATTGCTTTTGTAGGTAAATCTTTATTGATCCTCTGATACTCTACACCCAGATGGAGCTCAGTTGTAGAGAAATCTCTGAGTAAGCCCAGTTTGGGTCAATTGTGAGGGAGGAAGTCCCAGATTGGCCTTTTTTTTTTTTATTTGTCTTTAACAATCAAGTTTGAGCAACAAAGGATTTTATGGCAGGCCACTGGCTTCTTCCTTTTAGATTCACAGATAGTTTGGGGTGGGGACAAGCCCCTGCCTGGTTTGGCAGTCCGGTATTCTGCTTGGCTTTGGCACTCAGTATCCAAAGATGGGACTCATACAGGGCTAGGGAGCAATGGAACCTCCTTTGTCTTGTAGAGTATGTGTTAATGGATGTGGTGTCAGATACCCATTCAATCCTATAGAAGCATCACTTATAAAGAACAGTGCATTTTAGCACAGCTGATTTGAGTGTAAGTAGAACTGTATCCACCCCCCAGATCTGTGAAAAGTTACAACCTACTTCTTCTGTATCTATGACACAACAGAAAGTGAAAAAGATCTCTTCAATGGGGAACGGAAACCCTACAGATGGTCTTGTTGTTCCTCACTCTTGCTGTCTATGTTGCAGTTGGAAGGATTCTTTTGACTTCTTGCCTTGGTGACCCAAGAGAAAATGAAGGGAAATCTCAAAATGCAAACCTATAGTAGTAAAATCCTATCCGAGGTGCTAATCTTCCTCACTTTCTCCAAAACTAATAAAAAAAATATGGACAGGAGTAATACTTTAGGTGCTGAGACATCCCATAGCCCTTGGTGCTCCGCATGTTTCTATGGAAGAAAATTTACCACAGGGCAACATATCTTTCCTCATCCTCCTTAGCTCCCCAGGAGGACTTGAGGTGCTCCATAAATGTTGACTCTCAGCCCCAGCCTTTGACTTGTTACTTTGTGCTTTTAGATTCTTAGTGAACCTTTGATTTGCCTTTTAAAGGGCAAAGCAACAGGTTTGCTTTAAAGCCGGCTTTGCCAGTGGGGGTGAGAAGAAGCTCTGTGTAAGTCCCAAGTCAGGGAGGGTAAGAGCACTTTCCACCCCATGTGATGGGGAGTGGCCAATCGCCGATCAGCAGCCATGTTATGTTGGGGAAAGGTGAGAGAGTCGCATGGACCCCATACCTGGAAGTGCCTAGTGTAACAAGCGTACACGCAGTGAAGGACGCAGCCTTCCATTTTGCTGGGCAGTCTCCATTTTGCCACATCATTCTCCCCCTTCCTCTCTGTTCATACACATTGACATATGGCCTGTGTGTTGGGAGTGTCACAGGCCGGCCAGGGCACAGCAGGGAGCCCCAGAGCTATAAAACATTTTTGAGCTGAAACGCCTGGTTGTCTAAGAGAGCTGTGCAATCTGGCACCTGGTAAAAGATAACGCAAGCCTTCCCAGGAGTTCAAAGACATTTCAGAGAAGCACGAACCAGATAACACTTTTAAAATCCATTTTTCCCCTATGTCTCATAACTTGCAATATGAGAGACTTACATAAAAACCAGGCATATCGTCAGATTGGCCACGAGGAGACAAACAGTTTGAAAGGTCCTTGGCTGGAATACATAGGAAAGCAGAAAAGTAGATCTCTTGAACCATTTAGTGTATAATTTCATATTTCATATCTAATCATTCCTCAGATGTGTCTGCATAATAATCTACCCGCGGGTGGAATGTCACTTGTGCACAGGGAAAGTTATGAGCCAAAATATGAACTACAAGAGATTTCAGTTCTAGCTTAGGGCTACGCCCAGACGATCCCTCCCTAAACGGGGCATTGGTCCTTGACTTCAGAGACACCCCCTGCTAGGGAACTTCAAAATGGGCTGTTAGGCCTTAGAAAGTTAAGTTGAAGAATTCTCCCTTTTAACATCAGAACCACCTGGGGAGACCCATACCCTTTCACTCTGAAACTTGATCTGCTAACCCAGGACTTTGGCAAGTACCTTAACCCTTTAACTTCTCTCTGTTATCTCTTTGCTGTGCTGTTGTTCTCTGTATATTTATATATATATTGGTTACATCTTTTTTCTGTAAATATTTTTATTGTACCCTTTTGACCTTTTAGTAATAAATCTTTCCTTCTGAAAGTGTTGAACTGTTTCTATAGCTCCTTATTACAATTTACAAATTCCTGCCTCTAAAAGAGCGCTACTGTGTTTGTTTAACCCTCTGTATAACCGGCCTGCGGTGACTGTGTTATACAGACGATTATCTCAACCATTATAGTGTTATTGCTGAGATTGTGAGTTTCCTCTTTCCCTGTACAAAAAGGAAGTGGTGGCAGTGTGAAGGGTTAATTGCGTAATTAACCTGACCCAGTAACAATCGCTCCCAGGCTGCGGCACATAGATTGTGGTCCAATTAGCTGGAAAATCGTTGTGCAGGGTGCAGCTGGGCGTGGCATTGTTACGCACGTGACATCGCGGTTTTAGATTGGCTAATCCTTCAGTCAAGAGTTTGGTGAGAGGGTCAGGGGTCTGACGCCGCGATCGTCACACCTAGTATTGATTTTCACTCCTGATGGCCAAAGGGAGCAATGGAGGAGAAAATAGAAGATGAGTATAAAGCACGGTGGGGGCTGACATGAAAGTAAACCTGCTCTTTCTTCCTGCATACAAAGCACAGGTTCACCTTCAATCATTGGATACAAAGAAAACAAAAAGAGGGCGCACCGGCCTAGTGCATTAATATTTATTAAAATAATACAAAGTAAGTATTATTATTATTATTATTACATCGAGTTTATATAGCGCCAAAGGGTTTGCTCAGCGCTGTACAATAGAGGGGGGGACAATACATGAAACAGTACAGCAACAACAAACAGCACACGAGGGGTTCGAGGGCCCTACTCTTTCGAGCTTACAATCTAGGAGGGAGGGGGTAGTGGTACAGGAGGAAGTGGCTGTGGGAGATGGAGTGGTAGGAGGAATGAAGGAGAGCGGCTGTTAGGTGAGGGTGGGGTAGGCTTCCCTGAAGAGATGGGTTTTCAGGGAGCGTCTGAAGGTGAGGAGGGAAGGTGACAGTCTGATGGATTGGGGTAGTGAGTTCCAGAGGATGGGGGAGGACCTGGAGAAGTCTTGCAATCGTTCGTGGGAGGAGGAGACCAGGGAAGTATCGTACTCACAATTGACATACAGGACAAAGGCACATCACACTAAACAGCGGTGTCCAATCCACACTGCATATAAGTCCAAAAATGGAACCCTGGACTTCCAACTGGCTCTGAGGAAGAGGCTGAGTCCTCGAAATGCGTTAGCCAGTTGGAAGTCCAGGGTTCCATTTTTGGACTTATATGCAGTGTGGATTGGACACCGCTGTTTAGTGTGATGTGCCTTTGTCCTGTATGTCACTTGTGAGTACGATACTTACTTTGTATTCTTTTAATAAATATTTTTTTACGATAATGCACTAGGCCGGTGTGCTCTCTGTTTGTTTTCTTTGTATCCAGTGACTTTGCACTACCCCGGTCTGTTGAGGGCAGCAGGGAGTGCATATTCCAGGACATCTGAATTGTTACCTTAGCCTTTGCTGAGTCCATCCCCAACGCAGGAGTACAGAGTTTGCTGTGTTTGCGTCACCTTAAATCATTACCTTATACTGTATCCAGCCCTACCTACCTTAAAGTGGTTGTAAACCTCAGACATGAAATATGAGCAAAGCACATCCCACTGTAGTGTGTACTTGTCTCAATTAGAGCACTAAGTGTCATTTTTATCTGCTGTCTTTTTCCTCTGCTGTCAGCATGAGTCACTTCTGACAAGTTTTCCTGACACCAAGAGAAAAAAGGTGATAGGGGAGGATACAGCCTGTGAATGACAGCCTCAGCTCTGTTCCTGTGTACTGTGTGAAGGGGGGGGACGGGACGTCCCTCACTTCCAATCAGCTCTCAGGGCTCTCCTCACTGATGTAACTTCAGCTCCCCACCCCCTTTTTTTTTTTTTTTAAATTTTTTTAGAGCCGAGAGATCCTGTGTAAATTCTGCACTTTGAATGGATATAGAGGAAAGATGGTTGTAGATGAACAGGTACAACTTCTGTAGGAGGATTTTTGTTTCATCTCTGTGTATCACCTGGTGCCAGTCACTTCACTGGGTGTATGGAAGGGTTTACAGCCACTTTAACCATTTCAATACCGGGCAATTTTACACCTTCCTGCCCAGGCCAGTTTTTCAGGTTTCAGCGCTCTCACACTTTGACAATTGCGCGGTCATACAACATTGTACCCAAACTAAAATTTTATCATTTTCTTCACACAACTAGAGCTTTCTTTTGGTGGTATTTAATCACCGCTGGGGTTTTTATTTTTTGCTAAATTAACAAAAAAAGACCAAAAAGTTTGAAAAAAAACAAAACACGTTTTTCTTTGTTTCTGTTATAAAAGTTTACAAATAAATAATTGTTCTTCATAAATTTAGGCCGAGATGTATTCTGCTACATGTCTTTTGGTGAAAAATAACCCAAATTAGGATGTATTTTTTAGTTTGTAGGAAAGTTATAGAGTTCACAAACTATGGTATAGATCTGAATATTGATCAATCCTGAAGTACTGACAGCCAATCTAATTTCTTGAGGTCCAAGAATGTCAGAACAGTACAGATATCCCCCAAATGTCAGGACGGTACAGATATCCCCCAAATGTCAGAACAGTACAGATATCCCCCAAATGACCCCTTTTTGCAGAGCAGACAGTCCGACGTACTTCATAAGAGGAATGGCGAGTTTTTTGAAGTTGTATTTTTTTTGTCATAATTTTTCGGAAAATGAAAAAATTAAAAAAATTATTTTCACTATTTTTTTTTTTACATACTGTCACCAGTGCAGTACAGCGTCATCATATAACTGGCATGGCGGTGAACAGGGACACTGACTGGTGACAGTATGAAAAAAAAATGTATATTTTTTTTATTTTTTTTGTTATTTTTTTTTTTTTGTATTACATTTTTTTTATTTTTTTTAAAGATTTTTTTTTCATATTTTACTATGACCAAAGTAATACAATGTTACCATAGTAACATTGTACTACTTTGGGGAAGTAATCAGTATTTTTTTTTATTTTTTTTTTTTACACAATTTGCTTATAGCAAAGAATTACTTTGCTATAAGCAAGCATTTACCTGAATGACATCGATTCATTCAGGGGTTTTATTTTTTTTTTTGTGCTTAGCTGTGATTTGGTCACAGCGAATCACATGACATGTGCATGTGATTAGCTGTGACCATTCACAGCTAGGCACTAGTATACAATGGATAGCATGAATGAAGCCATCCATTGTATACAACTGTCATGTGACCTGCTGTGATAGGTCACATGGTACCAGCAACGGGGGCCGGTACTCAGATCTGTCATCGGCCATGTCCGAGGTACGCGGCCGGTGACAGATCGCGCTGCTGCGCGGCTCTGCATTAGCGCAAACTGCGCATGTGCGGGAGCACGCCAAATGGCGTGCACCCGGAATGCCGAAGCACTTTTGAAGCCGCCAAACGGCCATTGGCCGGGCGGCTAATGGTTAAATCACACCTTATAAAAGCCCCTTGAGTTGTGTATACCATTAGATTTTAGGTTGACTGTACTTTCCTCACACAGGATTCTGGGTACATCCAGACAACATCGACAGACATGCTGAAGAATTTCATCCAGTGTGATCCCGTTGTCATTAAACCATTCAGTCTGCTGGATCTGAGCAGTGTGGGGCTGGTAAGAAGTTGCAGTATTCACTCACTGTTCACTATACTGTCTCTTCTCAAATACTTTTTTTTTTTTTTTTTTCACCCATCTTTACTTGTTTTTCTCCCCTACCTGACAACCCTTAGTTTGGAGCCGAGACTCAACAAAGCAAGGTGGCTCCCAGCTCAGCTTCCAGTCGGCCGGTCCTCTCCTCGCGACATCAGCTGGTGAGTTTGGTTTACTCTAACTCAGCTTTTCTGCACCGGGGTTCCTCCGTTTTAGAAAGGCTGATACAACTTGCTGAGCCTAGAACATTATAATGTACCTCGTAGTTTGGGTAAATTTCTCTAGAAACAATAAATGTGAAATGTGCTTCATTGTACATCATCCAACATCTCACCCTTTGGCTGGCTTCACGGCTTGTCTTCCTCTAGTGCCGAAAGATAGTGGAGCAGTCACCTACAGGTGAATCTGGCCTGGCTCTTCCTTGCACCTACAGTGAAGGAAATAAGTATTTGATCCCCTGCTGATTTTGAATGTTTGCCCACTCACAAAGAAATGATCGGTCTAACAATCGAATGTTTGGTGTATTGTAACACTGAGAGACAGAATAGCAAAAACAAATTCAAAAGAAATGCACTGATTTGCATGTTCATGAGGGAAATAAGTATTTGATCCCCTATCATTCAGCAGAATTTCTGGCTACCAGGTGTCTTTCATACAGGTAACAAGCTGAGATTAGAAGCAGTCTCTTAAAGGGAGTGCTGCTAATCTCATTTTGTTACCTGTATAAAAGACAACTGTCCACAGGAGCAAACAAACAATCAGATTTCAAACTCTCCACCATGGCAAAGACCAAAGAGCTGTCCAAGGATGTCAGGGACAAGATTGTAGACCTACACAAGGCTGGACTGGGCTACCAAACTATCGCCAAGCAGCTTGGTGAGAAGGTGACAACAGTTGGTGCAATCATTCGCAAATGGAAGAAACACAAAACAAGTGTCAGTCTCCCTAGGTCTGGTGCATCATGCAAGATCTCACCTCGTGGAGTGTCAGTGATCATGAAAACAGTGAGGAATCATCCCAGAACTACACGTGAGGATCTTGTCAATGATCTCCAGGCAGCCGGGACCACAGTCACCAAGAAAACAATTGGTAACACACTACGCCGACAAGGATTGAAATCCTGCAGTACATGTCCAGGCCCATCTGAAGTTTGCCACTGAACATCTGAATGATGCAGAGGAGGACTGGTGGAAAGTGTTGTGGTCAGATGAGACCAACGTCGAGCTCTTTGGTATCAACTCAACTTGCCGCGTTTGCAAGAGGAGGAATGCTGCCTATGACCCCAAGAACACCATCCCAACTGTGAAACATGGTGGTGGAAACTTTCTGCTTTTGGGGTGTTTTTTCTGCTGAGGGGACAGGACAACTGCACCGCATCAAAGGGACGATGGATGGGGCAATGTACCCTCAAATCTTGGGTAAGAACCTTCTTCCCTCAGACAGGGCATTGAAAATGGGTCATGGTTGGGTATTCCAGCAAGACAATGAACCAAAACACACGGCCAAGGCAACAAAGGAGCGGCTCAAGAAGAAACACATTAAGGTCCTGGAGTGGCCTAGCCAGTCTCCAGACCTTAATCCGATTGAAAAATCTGTGGAGGGAGCTGAAAGTTCGAGTTGCCAAATGTCAGCCACCAAACCTTAATGACTTGGAGAGGATCTGCCAAGAGGAGTGGGCCAAAATCCCTCCTGAGATGTGGGCAAACCTGGGGGCCAACTCCAGGAAACGACTGACCTCTGTGATTGCCAACAAGGGATTGCCACCAAGTACTAAGTCATGTTTTGTGAAGGGGATCAAATACTTATTTCCTTCATGAACATGCAGATCAGTCATCATTTGTTAGACATGCATTTCTTTTGAATTTTTTGTTGCTATTCTGTCTCTCAGTGTTACAATACACCGAACATTCGATTTTTAGACCGATCATTTCTTTGTGAGTGGGCAAACATTCAACATCAGCAGGGGATCAAATACTTATTTCCTTCACTGTATGTATGTCATTCACTCATGAGCACAAGAGGCATTGTAGATTTTAAATATGTGTTTAGCTATAATGGCAGTAAATTAAAAATGGCGTTGGTTTATGTTTAGGGCAGCATTTCTCAACCTTTGTTCAGTCAAGGCACCCTTTAACAAAATGTAAAAACTAAACAAATAGTTTTACAGAAGGCAGCAACATCCGCACACGTGGGACACCCCATGTCAGAGGTGATTTGTTCTTCCACAGCTCAATAACCCTTTGGACACTGGTACTGATTAGTATTCCGTTGTTTCTCTTCTCACACTAATGTGACCCCAGTGCTGACAGAGAGGGGCAAGCAAGGATGCTGTGCAGGTGCCCAATGTCCTTATCAACGGATGGCATTATTGATGTTTTATGTTGTTGGCAGCTTAAACGTTGTAATGGTGCACAAAGAAAACCTGAAAGGAAGGCTTAATCCACCTGCTGGTTTGTATACAATTTTGGGGCAATTTTTAGGCATTTTGACAAGGCACCCCTGAAGAAACCTGAAGGCACCCTGGTTGAAAAAGGCTGGTTTAGGGGTCAACTTTAAAGATGAATTCCAGGTATTGATAATTTTAGCTAGTTACATTGGTCCAACTATGCATTTTCCACACCTGGCCAATCCCCCTGGAAGCTGGAAATCACTGTAGTAGGCATTCCTAGTCAAGTGATCTCCACTAGCTTCTGGGTCCCATGTAGATGGGCTGCCGGGCTTCCGTGGTAAACACAGGAGGTCGGCCATTTGGCACGGGAGTCATTCATTGAACATTTTGCATTTCCTCAATGAATGCAAAGCATTCTCTGATTAGATGAGGTGGAGAGGCGGGCGGTGATGTCGTTACCTGCACCACCACCACGTCCAATTAGAGACAAACAAAAGTGCGTATTGGCTCAGGAGAGGTAGCAGCACTGCGATCCGGTGCCCGCTGTGTCCTCCGGACACAGTGAAACGCCGATCGTCGGACGGGACCTCTGTACGAGGTCCCGATCATGTGATCACTGATTGGCCAATCATTGGTCACATGCAAAGTAGTAAGCAAGATGTCACTTGTGACATCATTGCTTACTACGTGTGAAATCTGTGAATGATCACCGAGGTCACATGGTACAAGGCTATTCACAACAGCCTTGTACCATGTGACAAGCTGTGACCAATCACAGCTCACTCAGTATTTCTCAATGACTGCAAGAATGCAGACAGAAAGAGAAATGATTGCGTTTACATCCTATATGGGTGTAAAAGCAATCACTGTAAAAAAAAAAAAAAAAAATCTTCATCACCCCCCACAAGTAGTACAGTGTCACCGTGGTGACACTGTACTGCTAGGGTGACAGTATGTAAAAAAAAAAAAACAAAAACCCATAAATAATAATATAAAAAAGATAAAAATGTAAAATAAATGTTTAAAAATGATAATTTCTGGTTATAAACTAATTTGGCTTATTTTTTTTTTACTAAAAATATAACGGAATACATGTTGGCCAAGATTTATGATGAAAGATTATTTATTTGCAAAATGTTATAAGAAAAACACTTTTTTTCAAAATTTTTTGACTTTTTCATTTACATAGCAAAAAAAATAAAAATCCCAGCAGTGAATAAATACCACCAAAATAAAGCTTTATCTGTCTCAAAAAAATGGTAAAAAAATTAATATGGGTGCAGTGTTGCATGACCGCGCAATTGTCATTCAAAGTGTGATAGCGCTGAAAGCGGAAAATTGCCCTGGACAGGAAGGGGGTGAAAGTGTCCGGACTGGAAGTGGTTAAGGATGTGTAAGTAGTTCGGTTATAGGAGAACATGGGGACTTCTCCGCGAGACTAGGGGGGAGGAGAGGGGAGGGGGGTAAAAAAATAAAAAAATATATAGGAGTATATAGAGTATATGGTTGTTCAGGAAGGGTGTTGTTGCAGCTTAAATAGTTCAAAGGGTGGAGGAGTCCTATAACTCAGGTAGTTCTGGGCAGGAGGGGGGTTAGTAAAAAAAATATATATATATAGCTGCAAAGTGAACACCGGCGTGAGGCTGCACTCTCTAGAGTAAACCGGAACTCTGTGTGGAGAAAATAGAGGAGAGAGAGGTGCGCCAGACTAAGTGTAGTAAAAAGGTAACAGTTTATTGCACACAAGATTTAAAAACTCACAAGATGTGGGTGTATATCAGGCATCAGGTAAATATTAAAGGACGTCATCTGGGCTGGACATCTGGAGCGAATGGCTGGGTCACCAGGAGCCAAGGCTCCCGGAGTGGCTGGCGCTCCTTAGCGGGTCCCAATGGAGGAGCGAGGAGGGCAGATGAGTGTCCCGGGAGTCGCGGTGCAGAGAAAGAACCGTGCTCTGGACAGGTGTTCCTGGCATCTCACACCAGCATGGGTTAGGTCACGTAGCAGAGCCAGCTTGGAGCGTAGCCAAGATGGCCGCCGAGCGGAAGTGACGTCAAGATGTAGCGTAGAGCCGTAGGAAAGGGGCGGTGGCGCGTTACAAGGCAAACAGCCTTTTCATCAGACCTCATATATAGTGAATGCAGGGTCCAGGAAGGCCAGATATAGTGAATGCAGGGTCCATGAAGGCCAGATATAGTGAATGCAGGGTCTGGGGAGACCAAATATAGTGAATGTGGGGTCTGGGGAGACCAGATATAGTGAATGCAGGGTCCGGGGAGACCGGATATAGTGAATGCAGGGTCCGGGTAGACCAAATATAGTGAATGCGGGGTCCGGGGAGAGTGGATATAGTGAATGCAGGGTCTGGGGAGACCGGATATAGTGAATGCAGGGTCCCGGGGAGACCAGATATAGTGAATGCAGGGTCCGGGGAGACCGGATATAGTGAGTGCCTAGTCTGGGTAGACCGGATATAGTGAGTGCAGGGTCCGGAGAGACCGGATATAGTGAATGCAGGGTCCGGGGAGACCGGATATAGTGAATGCAGGGTCCGGGGAGACCGGATATACTGAATGCAGGGTCCGGGGAGACCGGATATAGTGAGTGCAGGGTCCGGGGAGACCGTATATAGTGAGTGCAGGGTCCGGGGAGACCGGGATATAGTGAATGCAGGGTCCGGGGAGACCGGATATAGTGAATTGCAGGGTCCGGGGAGACCGGATATAGTGAATGCAGGGTCCTGGGGAGACCAGATATAGTGAATGCAGGGTCCGGGGAGACCAGATATAGTGAATTGCAGGGTCCGGGGAGACCAGATATAGTGAATGCAGGGTCTGGGGAGACCGGATATAGTGAATGCAGGGTCCGGGGAGAGCGGATATAGTGAATGCAGGGTCTGGGGAGACCAGATATAGTGAATGCAGGGTCCGGGGGGGGGAGACCAGATATAGTGAATTGCAGGGTCCGGGGAGACCGGATATAGTGAATGCAGGGTCCGGGGAGACCGGATATAGTGAATTGCAGGGTCCGGGGAGACCGGATATAGTGAATGCAGGGTCTGGGGAGACCGGATATAGTGAATGCAGGGTCCGGGGAGAGCGGATATAGTAAATTGCAGGGTCCGGGGAGAGCGGATATAGTAAAGGCGGGGTCCGGGGAGACCGGATATAGTGAATTGCAGGGGCCCGGGGAGAGCGGATATAGTGAATGCAGGGTCCGGGGAGACCAGATATAGTGAATGCAGGGTCCGGGGAGAGCGGATATAGTGAATGCAGGGTCCATGGAGACCGGATATAGTGAATGCAGGGTCCGGGGAGAGCAGATATAGTGAATGCAGGCTCCGGGGAGACCAGATATAGTGAATGCAGGGTCCGGGGAGAGCGGATATAGTGAATGCAGGGTCCGGGGAGAGCGGATATAGTGAATGCAGGGTCCGGGGAGACCGGATATAGTGAATGCAGGGTCCATGGAGACCGGATATAGTGAATGCAGGGTCCGGGGAGAGCAGATATAGTGAATGCAGGCTCCGGGGAGACCAGATATAGTGAATGCAGGGTCCGGGGAGAGCGGATATAGTGAATGCAGGGTCCGGGGAGAGCGGATATAGTGAATGCAGGGTCTGGGGAGAGCAGATATAGTGAATGCAGGGTCCGGGGAGAGCGGATATAGTGAATGCAGGGTCCGGGGAGAGCGGATATAGTGAATGCAGGGTCCGGGAGAGCGGATATAGTGAATGCAGGGTCCGGGGAGAGCGGATATAGTGAATGCAGGGTCCGGGGGAGAGCGGATATAGTGAATGCAGGGTCTGGGGTTAAGTAACACTTTAAGAGCTAAGTTTGGTAGAGAGGCTAAGGTTAAAGTGAACATGCGTTTTGCCCACGCAGGAGTACAGAACAGGTTCACTTTAATGCCTCCTTCACAGTAGCTTACTTTGCTTTACTTTCACTTTTCAGCTGCTACGGTCCCCCAAGAAGTGACATCCATTCCTTGTACTCCCAGTCTTCCCGGGTAGTAGTAATGCAAGTGCTAGTCGATTAGTCACTCAGGCACCCAGCACTGTCACATGGGGCAGGATGAAAGGTCTCGACCCTCGTAAGTCATGACATGGATACGGCTGATACTTGGACTCTGCACTGGCTCCCAATCGGAGTCCCAATCATGATGTACAGTGTGCTTGGAGGGCTCAAAGAGTTTTTAGTTAGTTTGGAGCTACTTTATCCTTCTATGTTGTGTCTTGCTGTTATATCCGATCCCTCAACAGTTTGGCATTCTTTCCACACAGCTGTAGGTGTTGGAGTGCTAAGTGTATGACATCCTGAAAATGTTCCTCATTTCCTGCCACATTTTTATGCCAGTTAATAACCCTGTAGGGATCCGCTGCCCTTTACTGTCAGCTACTAGTATCACACTGTAATGAAAAATTATGTATGTCACTTCCTGACTTGGGGGTTGTTGGAAATAGATCCTGGAAGGAGGAATTGGAGATAGAGAAAGTCTCAACCTCATGTTCTGCCCGTGCTACTAATACCAGATCAAAAGAGATGATTATTGCCAGATAACTAGGACTGCGTTCCAGGCTGGTTGGGTAATGGCTGAAGGGTCTCCTCATCAATGTAGTTCTTGTCTTCAGGTCTCCAACACAAAAACAGATGCTGCATCATCCTTAGGGGCCCCTGTAATTGGACTTTGCTGCAATATTGATCTGGAAATACATGATCTCTATTAATAACTATGTATACCCAGGTATATGAGCACAATTCCACCAAGACTCTTGTTGGTCTTTTTGCTGCTAATACCTGTTTATACGTTGGATGCATGTACTGTTCATAATTTATTCTTATATAAAGCATGTATTATTAGAGGTGGCCTTTTCAGTTCCTTTTGTGCCTTATGGGGACCCTATCAGTTGTCATTTTCCCCGTATGACATCCTGAAAATGTTCCTCATTTCCTGCCACATTTTTATTCCACCTAATAACCCTGTAGGGTTCAATTTAACTAAAGCCCTCTTTTATCCTCCATACCAGAGTGAGCAGAATGAGATCTTCCTGGATGTCATAGAGCGCATGACGGTGGCCATTGGCATAAATGTGAGTATTCTCTACACCGCTTCCTACACCCCATCCTTCTTATAGAAGAATCACATTCTTTAGCATGAAAGGCATGCTGATTAGTCTGATATAACCCTTTCTTTTACAGGGTACTCTGTTGAAGGCCGACGTTCAGGGTGAACTGCGACTGAAAAGTTTCTATCCAAACTGCCCAGGTTAGTAGACTTTACCCTTTGCCTCCTGAATGGAGGGCAGGCTAACAAGTACGCTTTGTTCTCCCCTCCCCGGCAGCCTGCTCACCTCTCCTACATCCCCCGGCTCTGCCACTCAACTCAGCTTTTTGGAGAAGAGAAAACTGCACTGAGTCGCTAAATTCAAAGCTTACACAGGGTATTGGACTATTCCCTTGTGACAGTATCGGTGCTTGTTGATTGGCCCAACGCTGTCACATGGAGTGAATCACATGCTGCTCTAGTACTGGGGAAAACAGAGGTACATTTGTGCAGCTGGGGAAGGGGGATTACAGCAAGGAGATTGCTTTGCCTTGCTTGGATAAGGTATAGATTTGCTTTAACCTCTTGGCGCCGGCTGCACGCAAATGTGCGGCCTCCCGGTGTCTGGGCTTTGAAGCCAAGCGGCCATACATTTGCGTGCAATTAAGAAACACGTATGTGCTGAGAGCACGCATCCTGCGCGCTCCCTGCACACATATCCAGAACTCACGGAAAGGTCCCAATCTCCTCTTTCGATCGGGACCTTTCCCGATCATGTGACCGCTGTGACAGCGAATCACGGTGGTCGCATAACCCTAAAACCCCGCCCTGCCTCCCGGTTTCTGAAACCTTAAAGGGCTGGGAGGCACCGGCGCCAAGGGGTTAATGTGTAAGTTTACTAGTGTTCATTTTCACGTCAAATTTTCGGTTTAGTTTTAGTCGTATTTTAGCCGATTAAAATTTAATGGGTTTAATTAAATTGTAATGCATTATTTTAGCATTTCCAAACTCATAGAATACTCCAGAATTTTCAAACTCATAATATACTCCTGGAGTGAAAATCTAATAACATGGTATTATTTATGGTATTAACCCTTTTGATGCCAGAGCCGATTTTTTTCACATGTTTAACCACCTTCCGACCACCCTATGGCAGAAATACTGCGACATGGGTGCGCAAAATCGTATGTGTGTATATATATATATATATATATATATGTGATCCGCGCTCCTTTGGTTTTCACAGGCCAATGGGGGGGCGGGGGCGCACCCCCGTCAACCTGCGGGTACCGTGATTTGTTCCTCTAGGGATCAATCATTCAATTTAGGCCAGTGATGGCCGGCCTATATCACATGATCGATCCCTGCCCTATCAGTGATCTTCCTGTGCCTGTGTTTACACTTACACAGGTACAGTAAATGATGCAATCTTCTCTTCCCGGGCACATTCCACATTCCGAATTATCAAGACACAGTGAGCACAAGCAGCACACTTTTTTACAGTTAGAACACTTTCGGACACATTTAACCCCTTGATCACCCCCCACAGTTAACCCCTTCACTGCCCTCTCACCAGTGTACAGATTATTTGCTGGCGACTTCAGATTGCGTTAGCGCCCCTCCCAGATAGCGTCAAATTTCCCATCAGTACACCAGTGATTACAATTAACCACTTGATTGCCAGGAACACGCTCACATACACAATAAACCTCCATTGCTAGTATAGTGTCTGAATGGATCGATATCTTTGATCAGATCAGCACTATACCAGCGTTCACATTAGTATAGTGTCCCCAAAAACGCAGCGTTAGCGGGATCAGCCGCGGCACCTGCGGTTAGCCCCTGCACTTACCCCCCCTTCTCCTCCAGCAAGTGTAGTTTCAGTAGGTCACTGTCACTTGGTACATTACACACAAAACCGCAGCGTTTGCAGAATCAATCCAGATCTCTGTTAGCACTTGTCGGTACATTTTTTTGTAGCGGTTCAAGCAGTCCCTGACAGCCAGAGATTTTTTTTTTTTCCCTGTGAGTTGCACTAGGTACCTATAAATTTAGTGGCCAAAATGTCAATGGAAAGGTACTCTAGTGAAGAGGCCTACAGGATTCTGAGCATGTCAAGTGAGAGCGAAGGGGAAGACTCACTGACACAATCAACCTCAGAATACGAACCTGTTGACAGCAGTGGCACCATGACAGATAGCTCAGACAATGGTAGAAAAGGTCCCTGCTAAGATCAGGTGTACCAGACCCCATTCCCAGGTTGCTGAGATGTTAAAATCGCATGATGACTCTCATATGCAGCAGAGTGCCAGTACTAGTGCCGCGCTACCTTTTGGTGAACTGGCGAGCATCAGCGTCTTTCACATACAAGCACTGCAGTATCACTTGGTGACGTGGCGAGTCCAATAAGTGCAGTACAATCTGGTGCAGTGGTGAGCACAAGCATTGTCCCGCTGCCACCAAGAATTCGCACACAGGCCCGTAGAGCCCCTAGTATCCTTCCGGACGTGCTTGCAAATCCCAGTTGTCAGCCCACAAATTCTGCAGCACCCGTACTTCTCCCATTCACTGCCTAACTCGGAATTCAGGTGGAAACAGCAAATTTAACTTCCCCCCTTGATTTTTTTGGAGCATTTTTTTCATGAAAGATCTGCATGCAGTGATTGTGGATCAAAGCAATTTATATGCACAACAATTTATCACCACCAACCCAAAGTCAAACCTGGCCAGACCATTCACATGGAAACCCATTACGGTTTCCGAACGTAAAGTTTGAAAAATCGCTGCTCAAGTACTATGTGAGGTAAAAAATTGCAGCACCCACCATTTTATTCACTAGGGTGTCTGCTTTAAAAAATATATAATGTTTGGGGGTTCAAAGTAATTTTCTAGCAAAAAACACAGATTTTTATCATGTGAACAAAAAGTGTCAGAAACGGCTTGGTCTTCAGGTGGTTAGAAGAGTGAGTGATGTGTGGCATAAACTTCTAATGCTGGGCATAAAATGCCCCCACCCCCCAAAACGACCCCTTTTTGGAAAGTAGACACCCCAAACTATTTGCTGAGAGGCATATTGAGTCAATAGAAGAATTTATTTTTTTACCACAAGTTTTTGGAAAATGACAAAAAAAAATTTTTTACACAAAATTATCACTTAAATGATTTATTGCTCACACATGCCATGGTTATATGTGGAATTACTCCCCAAAATACATTCTGCTACTTCTCCCAAGTATGGGGGTACCACATGTGAGAGACGTTTTGGCAGTCTAGCCAAGTGCAGGACCCCAAAATCCAATAAGCACCTTCAGGCTTTTAAAGAGCTTTATTTCCTCATTACACTTCCTGACTACCTATCACAGTTTCGGAGGCCCTGAAATGCCAGGATAGCACCAAACCCCCCAAATGACCCCTTTTTGGAAAGTAGACACCCCAAGGAATTTGGTAAGAAGAATGGTGAGTATTTTGCAGATCTCGTTTGTTGCCACAAGTTTTTGGAAAATGAAGAAAGAAAACAACATATTTTTTCATATTTCAAAACCTTGTGAGAAAAAATGAGATGTGCAAAATACTCACCATGCCTCTTTTTAAATTCCTTGGGGTGCCTACTTTCCAAAAAAAGAGTCATGGGGGGGGGGGGGGGGTTTGTGTTTGGTGCTATCCTGGCATTTCAGGGCCTCCGAAACTGTGATAGGTAGTGAAGTGAAATGAGGAAGTTGCGCACTTTCAGGCTTTCAAAGTGGTCAGTGGATTTCAGGCTCCTGTATGTGGCTAGGCTCTCAAAGTCTCACACATGTGGTATCCCATACTCAGCAGAAGTAGCAGAATGTATTTTGGGGTGTAATTCCACATATACCCATGGCTTGTGTGAGCAATATTTTGTGTAACAAAAAAAAAAAAATGTTTTTGTCATTTTCCAAAAACTTGTGGAAAAAAATAAATCTTCCATGGACTCAATATGCCTCTCAGCAGATAGCTTAGGGTGTCTACTTTCCAAAAAGGGGTCATTTAGGGGTGTACTGTCCTGGTATTTTAGCACCTCAAGAAATGTGTTGGGCAGTCAGAAAGTAAAAGCTGTGTAAATCCCATTATCGATACCATAGTTTGTAGACGCTATAACTTTCACACAAAGCAATCAATATACACTTATTGGGATTTTTTTTTTTACTAAAGACATGTAGCAGAATACATTTTGGCCTAAATTCATGACTAAATTTGAGTGGCTGTGGCAGCGCACACACCCAACTGATTGCACCCTTGCTTGCAGTTTGCCCCTCCCCCCACTGTCAGGTCCATAGGATGTACAGACTTGGCGGGGAAAGAGTAACGTTTTGCACAAACTACACAGACACAAATTTATCCATTATATGTCTAATAATAAGTAAAACCAAGTTTTGTTACAAGAAACATCCCTCCCCCACGTTTTCGTTTCATTTTTGCTCGTTGACGAAAATTCTAATTGATTTTTGTTTTAATTTTCATCACTGAAAAAATGCTGTTGACAAAAATTATGATGAAATTATTTTCGTTAACAAAATGAACACTGTCACTCCTTAGCTTTTTCTGGATAAAATAATGTACACGTGGGCAGCACAGTGGCTGAATGGTTAGTACTTCCGCCTGGCAGCATTAGGGTCGTTGGTTTCAATCCGAACCATGGTACCACCTGCCTGGAGTTTGCGTGTTCTCCCTGTGCCTCCGTGGGTTTCTGCCTTGTACTCCGGTTTCCTCCCACACTCCAAAGACATGCTGGGAGGTGAATTGGCTCCTGTCTAAATTGTCCTTAGTATGTGTCTGTATGAATGTGAGTTAGGGACTGTAGATTGTACACCCCTTGAGGGTTAGGGACTGATGTGAATGTACAATATATATGTAAAGTGCTGCGTAAATTGTTGGCACTATATAAGTACCTGAAATAAATAAATGTACACGATACAAACAAGGCTGAATCTGAAGTGCTTTAAAGTGTAAGTTCACCCTCTCACAAACATGAAAAAGTGAACTAACACCTTCTTCTCCAGGGTGTCACCCATCCTCTGGAACTCCCTGCCCCAACCCATGAGATTATCACCTACTCTCCTCTCCTTTAGGCGTACACTGAAAACCCATCTCTTCAGGGAAGCCTACCCCACCCCCTGCTAACTTGCCGACCTCCTCCACTCTTCCTACCACTCCATCCCCCACAGCTATCTCCTCCTGTGCCCCTATCCCCTCCCTCCTAGATTGTAAGCTCCAAAGAGCAGGGCCCTCGATCCCCTCATGTTTTGCATTGTATTGGTATTGTTCTGTCACATGTTCTGTCCCCCTTTGTAATGTACAGCGCTGAGCGAACTATTGGCGCTTTATAAATACTGTATAATAATAATACACCCTCCCCACTCACCAGTCCCTGCTGCACTTACCTCTGTGGGCGATTAGCTGTCACTGCCCATACAGCCGCTGCAGCAGTCCAGGGATCTGAAAGCTCCGCTCTTCTCCCCTTATTTTCCTGGTACTTCTGGGACTGATCAGAGTGATTCTGGTTGGTCACATGCTGGAACGGGACCGCTCTGATCAGTCCCAGGAAGCCTAAGGGAAGTCAGGGAAGAAGAGGGGGGCGTTCAAATCCCTGAACCACCAGCTGCATAGGCAGTGACAGCTAATCACCCACAGAGGTAAGTGCAGCAGGGACTGGGGAGTGGACAGGGTGTAAGGTGTTGGTTCACCTTTTTTTTTTTTTTTTTGTGAAAAAGTGAACGTACACTTTAAGGCACTTCAGATTCAGCGTATTGTGTACAGTATGTTATCCAGAAAAATCGAACTCTTTGTGAGGGTGACCACTTTAAAGTATATCCAAAACTTTTATTCAACTTTTGGATTAGAACTCCTGTCAGGTTTTCCTGCTGTTGATATACTTACAGTACAGTATATGTTTAAACATACATTTGTTTTTCAGAGTTACGGATTGGTGTGAGTGAAGAATTTTGCGTTGGGAGTTCAGAATTGAGAGGTTAGTTTGTTCCATGTCCTTAGGGCCAGTTCACACTATAGAAACGCAGTCCAGATGTGTTCCGGATGCATTTTTGCATGTTCATTTTTGACGTGTTCCAGTGCGTTTTTTTATGCATTTCATTTTTTTTTTCCCGTCTCTTTTTCTTCAATTTAAATAGGGACATGTGCCAATGCCAAAGCTTCTTTCTGGCACCTCGACCAAACAGCTCATTTTTGTTCAAGTATCACCATATTGCACTCCTTAAAAACAACCACACCATATTTTTCCAGAGCAGCCTGTTTTTCTTTTGAGGTTGCCTTTGAATCCCGGACAATTCTTCTGTCAGTTATGGCTGCAATCTTTCTTGGTCTACCTGACCTTAGCTTGGTATCAAGAGATCCCCGAACTTTCCACTTCTTAATAGGTGTTTGAACAGTACTGATTGGCATATTCAAGGCTTTGGACATCTTTTTATGTCCTTTTCCATCTTTATAAAGTTCCAGTACCTTGTTATGCAGGACTTTTGACAGTTCTTTTCTGATCCCCATGGCTCAGTATTTAGCCAAGTCAGTGCTTCCACGTAAGAGCTAACAAACTCATTGACTATTTATACACTGACACTAATTGCAATTTAAAAAGCCACAGATGTGGGACATTAACATCTAATTGGCATTTTACCCTTGTGTGTCTGTACCAAGGCCAAACATTCCGGGGGCGGAGACTTCTGATCCGGGGGGGGCGGAGACTTCTGATCCGGGCCATTTGGGTGATTTCTGTTATCATTATGATTTAAAATGGAGCCAAACAACTATTTGATAATAAATGGCTTCATATGATCATCATCCTTCAATAAAAGAGCATTTTTTGGCATGATCAGTCATTTTTCAATATCAATGCCAACATTTCACAATTTCTGCCAGGGTATGCAAACTTTTCAGCACAACTGTGTGTGTGTGTATCATTTTTTTTTTTTCCTTTTACCAGTCACTTTAGGCCTTCAGCCATTTGTTACCATTTTAATGCTCTAATTCCTCTCCGACAGGATACGGTTTGGCAGTGCGGGTGGACAGCTGTCAGTTTCACGAATCTGTAAAGCTGGATGAGTTTGAGGTCAGTCGGATCCTGAAAGTCCTTCCTCCTCAGGGAGAGGTGAGTCCTACCAATACCTTCTTTGTTACTGAATGGAACAGAGACTTAAGCCTAGTACACACTTTTTTTTTTTTTTTTTCGTTCGACCCATGCATTTGGGCAGGGCCCCTTCAGGAGGCCTTTTGGCGGCATTCATCCTCTGCTGGTCTTCAGTTTTTTCTTATTTCTTGTTCCATCATTCTTGCCTGAGATATATGAGAAGTCCTTGGCTGTGTTCATGTTAAATTAGTTCTTAATTTTCTGGCGGTTTTCACCTCACATGGGATCATGCGTCATGCCTTCTTGAGCACTTCTGAGGAAGAGATTGATGTTGGTCTTGAAACGCGCCAAGTGCGATTTATGCATGACCCATTTCTAGATTCGTAATACCATCTGTGATGACGCCGCCGTAATCTGTATTGTAGCTCAATGTTTGTTCTCTAAGACTGTAAAAATAAAACTACGTATCTTTTTAAAAAAATCTTTTTTGAACTGCTTAAGTTTATTATATAAGAGAATTGTGCCGTTAAAGTCCCGTCAAAAAAGAGGACTTCACCCCCTTTGTAATCTTTAGGGATGTTGGTACCCTGTGTGTTATATCCCTTTCCTCCCTTTTGCATGGGTGAGATCTGACTTCACAAATTCAGTTTGGTTTGCAAGTAAAGTTTCATGTATACAAGTATATAAAATATTTAATACAACAAATAGAGCAAATTGAAACCATTACTCAAGCAGCGCACTACTTCCATAAAAACAGTGTCGCTCTACACCTCCACCTCCCAGTGACAGAAAGGTGCAATGAAATACTCCATGACTGGTACATGTTCGGTCGAATGGTTCAATTTTAAACCACGAGAGTTCACTTCAGTAGCTGAAACCACCGCCGCGCGTCAAAGTGAGCCACACTCCCCTCTCGTCACCTCACTCACCCCCAATATTTGCCTCTCATTAAAATGATTGGCTGGGTCCATCCCTGGTTTGCAATCTCCATTCAGATGATCTCCAATTCCTCTAAACCTCTAAGAAGACAAAAGAATCCTCATGACGTAATGCTGTTCAATAGCTTTATTAAAATCTGCCCCTTAAAATAACACTCTCAGAACTGACAACATATTCTCGCTGGTCTTTCACATAATCCAGACATGTAATGAAATGGAAGCCGCATCCCACCGCGCTACGGGGGTCGGCGTCACTTCCTCTTTGGCATATAGTTGCGCCATGACGTCTCGTCCTTTTGCCTTCATCTGAGTTTGTGCCTAGACGGCTCGCTGATGCCGGCTTTAAACACTCCCACCTCTTCTGTTAACCCTTTATTAACCATTGTGCATAGAGAGCCGCCACTCCAAAACCCTCTATTTCTAGTGTTCATTTTACATGCTGCAACTTTAGGGCTCATGTACACTGCAGCTGATAATCTCACGTTTAGGAGCTTTTCTGCGTTTTTTTTCAGCAGCCCCTGAACTCTCCCTAATGTTTTCCTATGTGTCCATGTACACATCGTCGTTTACAGGCATTTGAGTTTACAGTAATTTTTTTTGAAAGCACAAAACTTGCGTTCAGCAGTCGATTTTATCAGCGTTTCAAAGCAAAGCAAAGCGCTTGTAAACGCGGCTAAATGCGTTTTATAAGCATTTGCGTTTGAAACTTTTTTTTAACTCTTCCAGTTCCTGATGCTGTCCAGAGCCTTTTTTCATCATGAAAAATGTATGCAAAGCGTTTTCAAGGTACTCAGATGGACAAAACACTGAACACAGGATGTTCCTACCAAGCTTGTCACACATTGTAATGACCAATTCACACCTCAGACCTCTCCCACCCTTGGAAACAAGAGATATGTTAATGACCATTCACACCTCAAATTCCTTATGAAGACCCCCTGCCAGGTGACCTTAATGACTCCCTCCACCAGACACCTTTCCCACCCTTGGAAACAAAAGAAATGTTAATGACCATTCACACCTCAAATTCCTTATGAAGACCCCCTGCCAGGTGACCTTAATGACTCCCTCCACCAGACACCTTTCCCACCCTTGGAAACAAAAGAAATGTTAATGAGCAACTCACACCTAAGCTAATCTCAACACATACTGCTGTCTCTGCTTCTACTCTCTGTATTTCTCTTAAACAGTCTGAAATAGTTAATAATTTACCACTTTTCAGGGCATTCTGGGCATTTGGGAGGTTCTCCTGTGCTTCTCTTTAAAAAACGCTTCTAAATACAAACGTGCATAAACGTGTTATGTAAACGAGGCTAAACAGACGTTTTTTAACCTACGTTTTCTAGCAGTCAGTTTCCATCGTTCAGAAGTGTCCCGTGTTCATGGGGCCTTATTATTAAATGTGAAAAGCGCTGGAGTGGAGCCAATCATGGCAATATTATTTCCCCGATCACTCAGGAACATCGCCGCCTCCCAGTATCTGGACTCAGAAAAATCAGCTTGTTAAATGAGGTCTCCAAAGTATGCTTCCTCCTTATAAACGTCTTGGTGTCATCCGTATTCCTCATGAAAAAGATCTCAATATAGTGCTTTATCTTTTTAAACTTTTACTAAGCAATAAAACATAGGAAATGCACTCACGTTCTGCACCACCTATGATGAACATCCAGCAATATTTCCATTACGCACAGGATGGCAGTATCATCCGAACAGCAGAGTCCTGTATGAGCTCGGAAAACCGTCACCATACGGAATGTATTGCAAGGCAAAGCACGGGCCCTTCTCTGTAAATGCAATTGCCTACTAAAATGCCGTTCCTGGAGCGTTTTCACAAATATTACAACCGCTGTCCCGATAAATGGAAACGTCATGACGTCATCTTTACGCTCCTATGACACCAAGACGTTTATAAGGAGGAAGCCCACTTTGGAGACTTCATTTAACAAGCTGATCTTCTGAGTACAATTGGGACCAGAAGTGCAGTTAGACGGTAACATTGTACAGTGTGAGGCCACACTGCGTGAGGTGAGCAGATATATGGTGGAGGATGTTCTCTCACTGGAATTTGTGACAGCTGCACATCCGTTATCCACAGGAGGGTTTACAGAAGAACACGATTTTGATTGGACTTGAGTTTATAATGACTATTTTGGTCGATTCAAAATTATTATGCTTTGTTTTGGTTTGGGCGATTCTTGATTTTCGTATTTCGTTTTTTATTTTTCACATTTTTTGATTCATAGGTATTGTGCAATTTTTTTTTTTTTTTGATGTGGCGCAGCATTTTTTTTCTTCACCTTAAGGCTGGCCATACATTATACAATTATCTGCAGATTTTTGGTTTAGATTTACCAAAAACCATATAATAGGAGGACAAACCTAAACAACACTTTCAGTTGTATCCAATTAGGCAGGCCCTTGCACTACATAGTTGAAGGTAAATCTAAAGGAAATTGGGCAGATAATTGTATAATGTATGGCCAGCCTTATTCCCACGGAGCAGTGCAATCCAGCCTTAAAGCAGTAGTAAAAAAAAAAAGTTTTCCCCTGCAAGGCAATATCATAATGTGCTAGTATGCACTGCATTGTAAAAGACTTACCTTGAAACAAAGCCCTCCAACGGCACACTGACACCACTGCAGAGGCTTCTATCGTCACCTAGTCTTCTTTATAGGTTCATGGGCTGCAGGCACTTGAATGTATGCGTGGAAGTCTCATCCACAGCACACAGCTCTGAAAGAACGGTGCGGGTATGCCGTTTTTTCAGAGCACATGCGCCGGTGATGTCATTGGCTACTGCTCACTAGAACATCTCCTAAACGGCGCACGTTTAGGAGATATTAGTTTACCTACAGGGAAGATTTATTATAAGCTTTCCTGTAGGTAAAAACTAAACAGTGGACTTTACTACCACTTTAAAGTGGAAGTAGGGGCTACATCTACAGTCTGTGTGTGTGTGTGTGTGTGTGTGTGTGTATATATATATATATATATATATATATATAAACACACACACATACAGTGGGGATCGAAAGTTTGGGCACCCCAGCTAAAAATTTGTATTAATGTGCATAAAGAAGCCAAGGAAAGATGGAAAAATCTCCAAAAGGCATCAAATTACAGATTAGACATTCTTATAATATGTCAACAAAAGTTAGATTTTATTTCCATCATTTACACTTTCAAAATAACAGAAAACAAAAAAATGGCGTCTGCAAAAGTTTGGGCACCCTGCAGAATTTATAGCATGCACTGCCCCCTTTGCAAAGCTGAGACCTGCCAGTGTCATGGATTGTTCTCAATCATCGTCTGGGAAGACCAGGTTATGTCAATCTCAAAGGTTTTAAATGCCCAGACTCATCTGACCTTGCCCCAACAATCAGCACCATGGGTTCTTCTAAGCAGTTGTCTAGAAAACTGAAACTGAAAATAGTTGACGCTCACAAAGCTGGAGAAGGCTATAAGAAGATAGCAAAGTGTTTTCAGATGTCAATATCCTCTGTTCGGAATGTAATTAAGAAATGGCAGTCATCAGGAACAGTGGAAGTTAAAGCAAGATCTGGAAGACCAAGAAAAATATCAGACAGAACAGCTTGCAGGATTGTGAGAAAAACAATTCAAAACCCACGTTTGACTGCACGATCCCTCCAGAAAGATCTGGCAGACACTGGAGTTGTGGTACACTAATTCCACTATAAAGAGATACTTGTACAAATATGGTCTTCATGGAAGAGTCATCAGAAGAAAACCTCTTCTACGTCCTCACCACAAAAATCATCGTTTGAACTTTGCAAATGAACATATAGACAAACCTGATGCATTTTGGAAACAAGTTCTGTGGACCAATGAGGATAAAATTGATCTTTTTGGCCAGAATGAGCAAAGGTACGTTTGGAGAAGAAGAGGCACAGAATTTAATGAAAAGAACCTCTGTCCAACTGTTAGGCATGGGGTTGGATCAATCATGCTTTGGGGTTGTGTTGTAGCCAGTGGCACAGGGAACATCTCACGAGTAGAAGGAAAAATGGATTCAATAAAATGTCAGCAAATTTTGGATGGTAACTTGATGCCATCTGTGAAAAAGCTGAAGTTAAAGAGAGGATGGCTTCTACAAATGGATACTGATCCTAAACACACCTCGAAATCCACGGGGGATTACATCAAGAGGCGTAAACTGAAGGTTTTGCCATGGCCTTCACAATCTCCTGACCTCAACATAATTGAAAATCTATGGATAGACCTTAAAAGAGCAGTGCGTGACAGACAGCCCAGAAATCTCAAAGAACTGGAAGACTTTTGTAAGGAAGAATGGGCAAAGATACCTCAAACAAGAATTGAAAGACTCTTGGCTGGCTACAAAAAGCGTTTACAAGCTGTGATACTTGGCAAAGGGGGCAGTACAAGATATTAACTCTGCAGGGTGCCCAAACTTTTGCAGACGCCATTTTTTTTGTTTTCTGTTATTTTGAAAGTGTAAATGATGGAAATAAAATCTAACTTTTGTTGACATATTATAAGAATGTCTAATCTGTAATCTGATGCCTTTTGGAGATTTTTCCATCTTTCCTTGGCTTCTTTATGCACATTAATACAAATTTTTAGCTGGGTTGCCCAAACTTTTGATCCCCACTGTATATATATACTGTATACACACACACAGTATGTACATATACAGTTGTGTTCAAAATAATAGCAGTCAGACATCACTAACTGGATCAATCACTGTTTTTGGTGGAAATGATATTTCTACATGGCAAATAATTTCCTATCAGGTGTAGTAGAGTAATAGAAATCCAACAGATCCAACAGTCATGACATGCATGCTGCTGATTCTGTGTCATTGAATCACTCATTGAAAGGGGCGTGTTCAAAATAATAGCAGTGTGGAGTTCTATTAGTGAGGTCATTCATTCTTTGATAAACAGGTGACAAATATTGCCCTTATTTAAGGAAGGAAGGCAGCAAATGTTGGACATGCTGGTTACAGTGCATTTCTCTCTGAAATTCTGAGGAAAATGGGTCGTTCCAGACATTGTTCAGAAGAACAGCGTACCTTGATTAAAAAGTTGATTGGAGAGGGGAAAACATATAAAGAAGTGCAGAAAATGATCGGCTGCTCAGCTAAAATGATCGCAAATGCTTTAAAATGGCAACCAAACCCTGAAAGACATGGAAGAAAGGGAAAAAACTACCATTCGAATGGATAGAAGAATAACCAAAATGGCGCGGACTCAGCCAACAATCAGCTCCAGGAAGATGAAAAAGGTGTAAAGTTCCCTGTGAGTACTGTTACAATTAGAAGACGCCTATGTGAAGCCAAGCTATCTGCAAGAAGTCCCCCGCAAAGTCCCACTGTTGGGAAAAAGACGTGTGCTGAAGAGGTTACAATTTGCACATTGACTGGCCTAAAGAGAAATGGCGCAACATTTTGTGGACTGATGAAAGTAAGATTGTTCTTTTTGGGTCTAGTGGGCAGAGACAGTTTGTCAGACGACCCCCAAACACTGAATTCAAGCCACAGTACACTGTGAAGACAGTGAAGCATGGTGGTGCAAGCATCATGATATGGGGATGTTTCTCATACTACGGTGTTGGGCCTATTTATCGCATACCAGGGATCATGGATCAGTTTGAATACATCAGAATACTTGAAGAGGTCATGCTGCCTTATGCTGAAGAGGAAATGCCCTTGAAATGGGTGTTCCAACAAGACAACGACCCCAAACACACCAGTAAACGTGCAACATCTTGGTTCCAGACCAACAAGATTGACATTATGGAGTGGCCAGCTCAATCCCCGGATCTTAATCCAATAGGGGTGACTTGTGGGGTGACATCACAAATGCAGTTTCTGAGGCAAAACCAAGAAATAGAGAAGAACTGTGGAATGTCGTCCAATCATCCTGGGCTGGAATACCTGATCACAGGTGCCAGAAGTTGGGTGACTCCATGCAACACAGATGTACAGCAGTTCTCAGAAACAGTGCGACTACAACCAAATATTCATGAAGTCATTCAAAGGAAAGCAAAATCTTCAAACATTTTCAGTTTATATATAGTGAATGTTGGAGTTTGTAAAGAAGAATACAAACACTGCTGCGATTTTTTTGAACCGTCTAATATTCACTTTTTCTTCAATTTTTTTTTAGAGGAACAACACAAATTTGATATATTTTTCTTCATGTTCCGATTTGGAATAGAATGTGTCGTGTTCCCAATGCATTTGTGTGGATGGAAATAAAAGCTATTAGAAGGATATTCAGCTTTATTCACCACACTGCTATTATTTTGAACACAACTGTATACACACACATATATATTTGTTTATTTATTTATTACAGGTACTTATATAGCGCCATCAATTTACACAGCACTTTACATATATATTGTACATTCACATCAGTCCCTAACCCTCAAGGGGCGTACAATCTAAGGTCCCTAACTCACATTCATACATACACATACTAGGGACAATTTAGACAGGATCCAATTAACCTATCAGCATCTTTGGAGTGTGGGAGGAAACCGGAGCACCCAGAGGAAACCCATGCAAGCACAGGGAGAACATGCAAACTCCATGCAGGAGGCGCCATGGTCGGGAATCGAACCCATGACCCATTTACTGCAAGGCAGATGTGCTAACCACTAAGCCACTGTGCCGCTGCCATATATACACATACACACTGTATGTACATATATGTTACTGCTTCCCCCCTCCTCCTACTGTATGGTGCTGGTATCTGTGTCATTCAGAAGCTTCGTTCACCCCACACCCCCATGTCATTGGGTGCCCCATTGTCACACGCACCATAACAGGGTGGCGATGCTTTTGCATCACATGAGCAGACAGGAGTGGATAACATGCGCGATTTACACAGCTCTCTTTTGGCAGCAGTATACAGCACAGGTAGGTGGAGGGGGGAGCAGTGGTTTGTAGCATTTTTATAGGTAGCCTTTACTTTGCACTTTATTCTTGCACAGTCTATGGTTGGAGTCTTCAGTTTCATGGTTTTTCTATGACTTTTTCACACGTTTCTTTTCTTCAGCTGACGGTGATGCAGTATCAAATCTCAGACAGTCTCAGCGCCTCCCTCCCTTTCCACCTCTTCCCCCAGTGTGGAGAGAGACCCCGGGAGCAGGTAAGGAGCAAAATTTATTATTTCAGGTACTTGTATAGCGCCGTCAATTTACGCAGCGCTTTACATATCTATTGTACATTCACATCAGTCCCTAACCCTCAAGGGGCGTACAATCTAAGGTCCCTAACTCACATTCATACATACACATACTAGGGACAATTTAGACAGGATCCATTAACCTCCCAGCATGTCCTTGGACATGCTGGTAGGTTAATTGGACAAGTCCTTCGCTCAATATTGAAACAAAGCCCTTATCTCAATATGTGATGTCAACAGACTGGGAAGACTTGCTGTATGTATACTACACGGGGCATTTTGTAATGTAAAAAGAAACCAGACGATTTTCTGAAAGTGTCAGCAAAAAAGTTTGCATTGAAATCAATGGGAAGTGATTTTTGCATTGAAGTCAACAGGAGGTAGTGTGTGGACCCAGACGCTAGGATGCAGTTTCTATGGTGACTTGGGATTTGTTGGGCCCTGGTGCAGTGCAGCACTAAATCGCAGATGCTTTACCATGTAACACATTAATTTTGTTACCATTTGTAATCACTATTTCAGTATTGTTTGTAGATGGATTTATCTTTCTGCTTCTACAATGAACACATTCTCACTCTAAGAAACTTCCACAGACTACATCCTGCATGGAATATAGCATCCCCGGCACTGTCTTCTGTTTACTGCACTGGATGTTTTATGTTTGGTAATACCTGTGCCTTGTGCTGGAAGGAGGAGATGCCCAGCGTGCTGCGTCTATTCGGGACATTGCCTCCCGTCCTGCGTGCTGAGTTGCTGTTTTCTGTGTCTGCATCCGCCTTGGAGCTGCATACAGGCAGCCTTCAGAAGTGGATGCAGCGGCTGAATGAACACAGATGCAGCAGCTGAATAGACACAGCCACATGTCAAAATGTGACATGCCCGCAGGAGTGGATGCACGGATCTAAACGCACACTGCGTGTCACTGACCAGGAAGAAGCATGCTGCCAGTAAAGACTGGGGTACCACCTTGCATACTTGATCTAGGTCAGCGGCTGCAGGTAACACCAATTTCCCTAGAGCCCATACTTTTTAAAAGCAAGTCAGCTCCCATCTTTCTTTCATTTTAGGTTTCCTTAAAGCGGAGTTCCCCTCACCTGTCAAAAAATAAAAGTCAGCAGCTACAAAAACTGTAGAAAAAAAAACAGCCACTTACCTGTCCCTCGGTCCCGTGGTGTGTCCCCCGCAGCCCGTTTCACCAGCCGTCCTGTATTCCAGGAGGCCGGCATCTTCAGTGTGGGCACCCGGCTGTGATAGCTTGCGGCTTCACAGCCGGGTACCCACTGCGCATGTGCGAGCAGCGCTGCACTTCATGAATGGTCCTGTAGTCTTCTGGGACCTGTCATATGTCCCAAAAGACTACAGGGAGGGAGGACACCTTCCGCTTCTGATCGCCTAGCCCAGTGGTCGGCAAGCCGCGGCTCTTTACACGCTTTAATGCGGCTCTTGTGTGCCGGGCGCCCGCTCCCCTCCCTCCTCCTCTCGGGCGGCAGGGACTCTGCAGCGTGATCCAAAAAAAAAAAACAGCCAGGGCAGCGCGCTCAAATGCAATGATTGGCCAGTCTTGCTGCCACTCACATCCTGATAGCCAGTGATTGGCTGTCAGGATGTGTGTAGGCGGGGCAGCGTGACGAACGTGAGAGGAGCTAGGCTCCTCTCACAGTCCGCCCTGAAGACCGGAACGGCGCGGGAAACACGGCGAGAGGAACGCGCGGAGCAAAGGTAAGTGAATTGACACAGGGGGGACTTGGCTTACTACTTGCTACTTACTACTACTATATGAGGGATGAATTAATATGGGGGATGAATTACTATGGGGGATGAATTACTATGGGGGATGAATTACTATATGGGGGATGAATTACTATGGGGGATGAATTACTATAGGGGGGATGAATTACTATATGGGGGGAATTATACTATATGGGGGGGGATGAAATTACTATGGGGGATGAATTACTATATGGGGGTTGAATTACTATATGGGGGATGAATTACTATGGGGGATGAATTACTATATGGGGGATGAATTACTATATGGGGGATGAATTACTATATGGGGGATGAATTACTATGGGGGATGAATTACTATAGGGGGGATGAATTACTATAGGGGGGATGAATTACTATAGGGGGGGGGATGAATTACTATATGGGGGATGAATTACTATAGGGGGGATGAATTACTATAGGGGGGATGAATTACTATGGGGGATGAATTACTATATGGGGGATGAATTACTATGGGGGGGGATGAATTACTATAGGGGGGATGAATTACTATAGGGGGGATGAATTACTATATGGGGGGATGAATTACTATGGGGGATGAATTACTATAGGGGGGATGAATTACTATATGGGGGATGAATTACTATGGGGGATGAATTACTATAGGGGGATGAATTACTATAGGGGGGATGAATTACTATAGGGGGGATGAATTTACTATATGGGGGATGAATTACTATATGGGGGATGAATTACTATGGGGGATGAATTACTATAAAAACTTATTGAAACTAAAAACAGTGTACCATCCTATGTATTTTCAGTTTTAAAAATGTGGCTCTCAAAATAAATTGCAATCGTGGTTTTGGCGAGATTTGGCTCAGTTGAAAAAAAAGGTTGCCCACCACTGGCCTAGGCAATCGGACCGGAAGTGGGAGCGGTTACCCGCTCCCCCCCACTGCCTCCTAAAGCTGACAATCCTTAATGGGGAGCAGTCCTTAAAGCGGAACTTCCCCTTTTGGGTGGAGCTTCGCTTTTACGGCCCAGGTCATCAGATCATTTCACTTAGGGCAATTCACACTTAAATGATGTATTGCGGTGCATTAATGTGCGTTAAGGCACATATTAACCCCTTCACACCGGCGCCTCCCAGCCCTTTGAGGGTTTCAGAAGCAGGGAGGCGGGGCGGGTTTTAGGGTCATGTGACTGCCGTGACACGCCGTCACATGATCGAGAAGGGTCCCGATCGAAAGAGGAGATCGGGACCTTTCCGTGAGTACCGCACATGTGTGCTGGGAGCATGCAGGGTGCGCGCTCTCGGCACATATGTTCTTTTTTAATAGAACGGAAATGTGCGGCCACTCGGTGTCTAGGCCCAGATGCCGGGAGGCCACACATTTGTGTTCAGTCGGCGTGAAGAGGTTAACATGAGTTGCATTGAGGCAGCTCATTCATTATGAATGGGCTGCCAATGCACCGCAACACAGAAAGGAAAAACATACGATCCTTTTTTAAAAATATAATGCGCCACAACGCCGTGGGGGTTATTTACTAAAAACTGCACTTCTGCCTAGAAACCAATCAGCTTCCAGGTTTTATTGTCAAAGCTTAAGTGAATAAGCTGAATTTAGAATCTGATTGGTTACCAGGCCCAGCTGCAACAGACTATGAGTGCTCCAGTTTTAGTAAATCTCCTCCATAGTATGTGCATCATTGTGTGCTGCGGTGCTTTGGGCTCTACTGCACAATGCGTTGGGGTGCTAATCAGGGCTCTGAATCTAGGAGCCAGCTAAAAAAGTTAGGAGCCAGTTTTTTTTGTCCGTGTCAGCAGCAAGGCAACTTTTGGGCGACAAGCTTCACGTGATGTGATTTGTTATGCGACAATCACAACCAATTCGCACATTTCATTGAAAATAATGGAACCTGAACCTGCATTTTGTCATCACAGCGATTCCCAAAAACACCCAGATGTGAATGGGGCCGCCCTGGTTCACACATGTGCGATTCTGGATGCGTTTTCGAACGCACAGCTTCGCATGGCAGGCTAGATATTTTGTGTTCCTATTGAGGTGGTTCACACAGATGCAATCCACAGGCATTGTGTTTTCAGTGCCATTACGAAAATGGTCCTGTGTGAGTGCATGGCAGTGCATTCCAGACTCGCAAGTGATTGGATAGAGTGGCATGTGAAGTGTTCACATAGGATTGCTACTGACAGGAGTTTTTGCAATGAAGTCCACGGGAGGCTACTTGGCACTGAAGTCCACGGGAGGCTACTTGGCACTGAAGATCACGGGAGGCTACTTGGCACTGAAGATCACGGGAGGCTACTTGGCACTGAAGTCCACGGGAGGCTACTTGGCACTGAAGTCCACGGGAGGCTACGTGGCACTGAAGATCACGGGAGGCTACTTGGCACTGAAGATCACGGGAGGCGATTTGGCACTGAAGTCCACGGGAGGCTATTTGGCACTGAAGATCACGTTAGGCTATTTGGCACTGAAGATCACGTTAGGCTATTTTGGCACATCACGGGAGGCTATTTGGCAGTGAAGATCACGGGAGGCTATTTGGCACGGAAGTCCACGGGCGGCTATTTTGCATTGTAGTCAATGGGATATGATTTTGCATTGAAGTCAGTAGGAGGCAGTGTGTGAACCCAGGCACCAGGGATGCAATTTCTAGTCACCATGGCGACCTGGCGCCTGAGATTTGTTGAGCCGTGGTGTCAGTCACAATGAACAGCGCAGCACTAAATTGCAGATGTGTTACCATGGAACACCTGCAATTGTGAACAAGTGTGAATGGGCCCTAAGACATTTCAGGTATTTTTATGAATTTTTATATCACCAGTATGTGCATCAGTCCATACCAGTCTTTGTCCTAAGCCCCCATTCACACCAATGCGATTTGTCATACGTTTTGATAGTTTAAAAATCGCATGACAAGTTGCATCCTATTTGTGCCTATGGAACCGTTCATATTGGTACAACTCTGTCTTTGCGGTGCGGCACCAATTCCTGCACTATTTGTGGTGATTTCATTTGCGGTTTGCGTTGACATCTGACCATGAAGTCGTACAGATATCAGGCAAACCGCAAATGAAAACGCACTGACCTGCCATTTAAGTGAAGTGCGATTTCAAAGCAGCATTCAGTGTCAATTAGGGCAAAGGGAGCTTACCCTCTTATATCCCTACCACAGTCAAATATATGATATAAAGGAGTTGAAACCAAACTCCCATTGCTGTAACTATAAAGACCTTTTCACAAGTAACCGATCTTTATGTGAATGAATGTGATGGGAGAATATAAAGACATCATGCTGAAGGATACTTCAGATGAGCAGAATGCATTAGTGAATAACGACATCTATTCTCTTGCAGCCGGCTGCGGATTTTTTTGAAGCTGCGTTGTGATCTGAGCCCCAAGAGGTGAGTGTGAGAAATAAGAGGATCAGATTTACAAGACAACTGTGATCATAGACAGGGAATTCTTCATCCTGTACTCACTAGGCTTCCTTTAATTGTATTTCCAGCCAGGCAATAAACATACGTGTGCAAGTACCGGTGCCGAAAGGAGCCAGCAGGTAAGTGTCCACCAAGCACGCATAGTACA